GATTTACCCCCTTCATGACCAGAGCATTTTTTGCTATTCCGCATTGTGCTACATTAACTGGCAATTGCTCGGTTTTGCAACACTGCACTCAAACTTTATATCTTTTTTTCACACAAATAGAGCTTTCTTTTGGTTGCATTTAATAAACACATTTTTTTTAGCTTCTGTTATAAAATTTTGCAAGCAAATAATCTTTCTTCATAAATTTAAGTCAAAATGTAGTCGGTTACTTTTTTTGGTAAAAATAACCCAAATCAATGTATATTATTTAGTCTGTGTGAAAGCCATAGAGTCCACAATCTATGGTATATATACTGTAGAGAAGAAATTTGATCAATCCAGAAGTACTGACTGCTTTCTCTCTTCTTTTTTTTTTTTTTTACGTACTGTCGTTCAAGTAGTTCAGTGTTACCATGGACACTCCTCTACTCGGGAAGCTCGAGAAGGAAGAGAAGGAAGGAAAGGGAGGGTGATCAAGGATTTTTTTTTCTTTACACTGTAATTGCTTGTCACAATGATGAGCACTGTAACAGCAATTGTCTTAACTGTCACAAATGGCTTTCATTCATTGTTCACAATTGTAAGGCTGTGATTGGCCCACAGCTATAACATAGTGCAGGGTGCTGCAATTGGCCCAGGTATCATGTGATCACTTGTGACCAACCACAGATCACACACAGTAATAAACAATGATGTCACAAATGGATTCCATTCATGACCATTGTTTGCAGAGACATGTGATTGAACAATTATGTGGTATATGGGTTGCTCACAGTGGCTCAATACTGAGCACCGCAATCCCCTGTGTCTAATGGTTTCTGTGTGTATGAGCACCACAGCATATGGGTACATCTTGGTGCCTGGGGAAGCCGCCCACCAGCATTAAATGTACTGTGGGCATTCGGCAAGTGGTTAATATTAGTGGTGCACCGAAATAAACATTCTGGTGCCAAAACTGATACCGAAAATTCAGAATGCACATGGCTTCAAACCAAAACCGAAATGACTGCATATGTGGGGGTGGGGAGGCTAACATTTTTACCATTATTTTTTTTTTTAGCTTTCACTATAGCTCCAAGTAGGAGCTGTTATTTTCCTCACTGGGTATTGTGATTGGGTGAGCCCACTCCTTTGTTTCCTATAGCGGCGGGGAGAAAGACAGCTCCTTCTTGGAGCTATAATGAAGGAAATTATAAAAAAAAAAAGCCAGTAATTACATTTAAAAACCAGCATTGACATAGCGGCAGCCAGTAAGGGATCCTGCATGTATACACTGCTCCCTCCTTGCATACATTGCTTCCCCCACCCTCTCCCCCCTACAAAGAGGACCTTTCACTCATATACCTAACCTCCTCCTTTGCACTTGCACAGTGCATACAATCCACCACCCACTCCGACGGAAATATCCTGGACCTTGTCTTCTCCAACCGCTGCGCTCCCCCACAACCTCACTAACACCCCCTTCCCTCTCTCTGACCACAACCTGATCACCTTCTCTATCTCCTCATCCTCCAACGCCTACCCCTCCAAATGTCACACTACTACCAGCCGTAACCTCCGCAACCTTAACCCTGCCTCCCTCCACGCTGCAGCTGATCAACTCCACGACCACATTCTCCCCCTGTCCTGCCCCGACTTGGCTTTGACTGCCTACAACAATGCGCTCTCAACAGCCCTTGACTCACTAGCGCCTTTAACCACACGCAACATCAGCCCCCGACCGCTCCAGCCCTGGCAGACTGATCACACCAACACCCTCAAACGACAAAGTCGTGCCCTGGAGCAACTATGGCGCAAAACCAAATCCCAACAAGCCTTCACCCGCTACAAATCTGCCTTCCGCACCTACACCTCCTCCCTCCATGCTGCCAAACAGGACTACTTCTTGACCCTCATCAAGGCCCTCTCCTCCAAACCTCTCCGACTCTTCTCTGCCTTCAACTCTCTACTCTCTCCACCCCCCACCTCCACCCAGCACCTCACTCACTGCCCTTGAGATTGCCAATCACTTCAAAAACAAAATTGACACAATTTTGCAAGGACATTGCCGCAACTCACACGCCTCTCAACCCGTCCCCTCTCACACAGCTACCCCCTCATCCCCCCTCCCCCTCGACACAACCCGCAGGGACTTCGTCGCTGCTCAAACTCTCTCCAACCCCCTTCACCCTCACTCAGCTACCCCCCTCATCACCCCTCTCCCACAGCCCCACCACTGCTCTGACCTCCTCTTCCACCCCACCCTACATTCCTCATACTGAAGCTCCCCCCACACTCCGCACCTTTGACCTTACTACCATCGAAGAAGTCTCCAAGATCCTCTCTGATGCCCACCTCACCACCTGCCCCCTCGACCCTATCCCCTCACAACTCCTACGACCTTCCTCCTCCTCCATCCTACGCTCCCTCACCCACATCTTCAATCTCTCCCTCTCCTCAGGCACTTTCCCCTCCCCTCTGAAACATGCACACATCACCCCCATACTTAAAAAGCCCTCCCTGGACCCCAATGACCCGAACAACCTCAGACCCATCTCCCTGCTCCCATTTACATCTAAACTCCTCGAGCGCCTAGTCTAAACCCGCCTATGCTCTCACCTCAACGACAACAACCTCCTCGATCCCCTACAGTCCGGCTTCCGTCCCCTACACTCCACCAAAACTGCCTTACTCAAACTCTCCAACGACCTGCTAACCGCCAAAGTTAATGGCCACTATTCAGTGCTCCTACTCCTTGACCTCTCTGCGGCCTTCGACACAGTTGACCACCCCCTCCTCCTCAAAAAACTACACTCCCTCGGCCTCAGAGATTCTGCTCTCTCCTGGCTCTCATCCTACCTGTCACAACGCTCCTTCAGCGTTACCTATAATGCTACCCACCTCCCCCTCACTCCCCCTCTCTGTTGGGGTCCCTCAAGACTCTGTCCTTGGGCCCCTTCTCTTCTCCACCTATACCTCCTCCCTTGGCCAACTCATACACTCTCACGGCTTCAACTACCACCTCTATGCCGACGACACACAAATCTATCTCTCAACCCCCCACCTCACCCCCTTGGTCTCAGCCCGAATCACACACCTACTGAGCGACATATCAGACTGGATGTCACTCCACTTCCTTAAATTGAACCTCTCCAAAACCAGTTTCTTGTCTTCCCCCCAGCCCGGAAACCACCCCCCCCCCATTGATTTCTCCGTCACATCCAACAACGCTACCATCAAACCCGCCCTGCAGGCCAGAGTACTGGGTGTCATTCTGGACTCCAACCTATCCTTCCAGCCCCAAGTCCAATCTTTAACAAACTCGTGCAGACTCCACCTCCGCAACATCACCAAAATCCGCACGTTCCTAACCCCAGAAACCACTAAACAGCTCATCCACTCCCTCATCATATCACGATTCGACTACTGCAACTCCCTCCTCACTGGCCTGCCTCGCCGCTGGCTATCCCCGCTTCAGTCGATCCTGAATACGGCTGCCAGACTCATTCACCTTTCCAACCGCTCTGTCTCCGCCACCCCCCTCTGCCAATCCCTCCACTGGCTTCCGATTGCGCAACGGATCAAATTCAAAATCCTAACGCTGACGTACAAAGCTGTCCACCATACTGCCCCGTACTACATCTCTGACCTAATATCCAAGTACCGTCCAGCACGCACACTCCGCTCCTCACAAGACCTCCTTCTCTCTAGTTCCCTGGTCTCCTCCTCCCCCATGCCCGCCTCCAGGACTTCTCCAGGGTGTCACCCATCCTCTGGAACTCCCTGCCCCAACCCATCAGATTATCACCTACTCTCCTCTCCTTTAGGCGCACCCTGAAAACCCATCTCTTCAGGGAAGCCTACCCCACCCCCTGCTAACTTGCCGACCTCCTCCACTCTTCCTACCACTCCATCCCCCACAGCTATCTCCTCCTGTGCCACCACCCCCTCCCTCCTAGATTGTAAGCTCGAAAGAGCAGGGCCCTTGATCCCCTCATGTTTTGCATTGTATTGGTATTGTTCTGTCACATGTTCTGTCCCCCTTTGTAATGTACAGCGCTGAGCGAACTATTGGCGCTTTATAAATACTGTATAATAATAATAATAATAATACTATCATATAGGGGACTATTGGTCCCCTATGTGATGGCAATAAAATCATATGAGTGACAGGTCCTCTTTGTAGAGTGGGGGGGAGGGGGCAGTGTGTGCAAGGAAGGGGCAGAAACGGAGCAGTGTATACAGTAAGGGAGTAGTGTATACATTCAGGCTCTCTTTGTATCATTCAACCCACTTTTTCGGAGCCCAGGTTATACTGGACCAGTTCTGTTACTGGACAATGAAAGGAGAAGCAGCACAGGGATGAGCTTATCCCTCTGTCATTCTGCTTCCTTTTACTGTAGTTATCAGCATTCTTCTTGTCTGAAGTGACTGGATCTTTGTGGTGCTTTCTTTCACAATCCAGCTTTGCTGTATGGCTACGTAAAATCCAGGTATACACTGTATATATACTGCTTGCAAAAAAGCAAGTATTTTGTGTATTTAATGATTACTGAGCTGCATACATTTGTGAAATGTATTTCTGTCCAGAGTTCAGTTTTAAGCATCAATGCTTTGCAAAAGGGTATAACAGAGAGCGAGGACAAGCATTTCACAATATTTTAGTGCCAGCTCAGACTGAAGTTGCAGCACAGATCAATAATCAAGCTGTGCACCTTAGTTTTCTTGATCTTAAATTGGACAGTCTACTCTAACAGACACTTAAAATCAGAACTTGCACTTGGGCTCCATGACAAGTTTTACTACAGCAGCTTCCTAAGTTATGACTAAATTACATTACTGAAATGTAAACACTGAAAGAGTATTCAGAAATAAAACTATGATCAGTTTGATATGACTGTTTATCACCTCTGATAACATCTAGCCACATACACACAAAATACAAAATGTATGTGCTGATTGTGATGAAGGGAAAGCATCAAGATATATTGATACATAAGATCGCCATTATAATTACAAACCTTCTGATTTTCTTCAATTTCTTTTCTCATCTCCTGGTTTATTGCAATTCTGGTCAGTGACCTGTTAAAGATTTAAAAAAAAAAAAAATTTACTCCAGGAACTATGCAAGTCTAATATTTAAAGTACCACACCCTCCCCCACCCCACCCCCGAAAAAAAAAAACAACGCACAGCTCACAACAGCTTCCTTGTGTCACCTTTTCCGATGCCTACATAGCATTACAAAGTGCTTATTGCATTCATTAGAAACCATTTTGTATTTAAAGCAAACCTATACCCAATTGTTAAACTATTTTAACAATCTTGCTGGGATGGTTAAATAAAAACGTATAGGAAAGGCTATATTTCTTTTATTTCCTGGAGAAAATGCTGCTCCATGCTCCCTCCAGTGCTACTTTGAAGATCGTAGCCATGCCGATCTGTCAATCCAACAAAAGCTCCTGGCTAGGATGAAGTATAGAAACCAGAGGTGACTGTACATATCTCCAGTAGCTTTCAGTAGTACTTTGTATTTTGCCTGAAGGCTAGGTTGTTCTGACAAATAACTACCTGATAGTGCTGAACCACGTCTACCCCTTCCTACCTCCTCTGCAGTCCTACTAGCCAGTGAGGCAGTCCATCAGCGTAATTGTGTCAGAATGGATTATACTTCTGCATACTAGAACATCCTGAAAGCTGCTGAAGATATGTGAAGTGACCTCGTGTTAAAGTAACTAGTTCATAATAATTCCCAAAAGAAATCAGTAGGAACATCCTTTTTCTAACTATAAGCCCAAAAGAAATCAGTAGGAACATCTTTTCTAACTATAAGCCAACTAATTAGCCTAAATTATTAATAATTAAGCCAAAAACGTTAAGGAAAATATGTACAAAATAAAAAGTCCCTTTAATTTGTATTAATGTAACTTGTCTTGGATTTTGATAAAGTGTAAACCTTCAAATAAACAAATCAACAAAAAACATGACTAGAGACAGCTGTGTTTCTCCTGGTCTATCTTATTGTCAAAGAGAGCAGGTGGGCATTGAAGGAGTGGAAGTGATAAATGGGCAGGTCCTGTGCTGGCATTTAGTTGAACGTACAGATTAGATACTTAATTATTTACAAACGCATTAAAATGTACCTAAGGGAAAAAATTGTATTTCATTGTTAGATAAAGCGGTGGGGGTTTAGCACCACTTTCAGTGTTTTTTGCTGTCTGTCACTGTGCCCCTATAGTGGAGATTTCTCTCTATTAGCCCTAGCGCCCATCACTGGTAATGAAAGTTAAGCAGAAACCAAAATTTTCCAATGGGGCCATATATTTTTTTGGAAACCACTGTCTAAAGATTTCCTTCATATTGAAGCAACTGCTTCTCATTTCCTGATGTTTCTACAGGACAGAAAGTATAGGGAAATCCCCCGATGGGACACCGATATAAAAAAAAAAAAAAAGTTACGGCTTTGATTTTACTGTATATTTATAATTTTTATTAACCTGATATATGGAACTAATGGCAATTACCATGCCGCCCCTACTTTGTGTCGATTCTGCCCAGTTTCACCAGTGCACAGGAAAAGGGTGTTTCTATTATCTCAAAAAAAAAAAAAATGAAGAAAGAAGATTTCTACCATACAGGCAAGTCCCTGAGTTACATACATCCGACTTACATGCGACTCATACTTACAAACAGAGGGTGACAACAAGAAGTGAGAGGAAATCTACCCCTAGGAAGGGAAATTCACTCCTGGAAGTTATCATGGGAAAAAGGTGTCTCCACCAAAGCTGTATCAACAATCCTTGTTTCCACAGCAACCCAAAATGTTCAAAATACAATTGTCACAGGGACAGAAATTGAGGTGAAATGCGTCTCACAACACCCAAAGGGCCTGCATCCTAATTCGAAACTGGATTCATATGAACTTACCAAGGTAACAAAATTAAGTCAAATATCTCTAGTGAATTCCTAAGAAAGAAAGTATGTCTCTCATATAAAATACACTTATTAAGACCAAATATCAAATAAAATAGGGTTGGAGGATGTGGGAAAGACCACTTACGGGCAGTTTACCTTCAAGCTACAAACAGCGCACATAGCACTGTAATCCTCTTTGATGGCTTGAAAAATCAACATAGCCTAACATGTGGGGATCCAAATCTAATAGCCCATTGAGTGTGCCCATAACCTTCACTCAGTACCTCTGGAGTTTTGGGCAACGCCACAGTAGATGTATCAAGGATCACGAATAAGTAAAAAATGAATCAAAAGTCTGGATGGTCATTGGGAAATACAATGTTTTTTTTATATCACACAGGAAGCATAGTTCCCGTGTCCAGCCTTGCCAGAAAAAACAAAGTTCACTTTATTAACGAAAACACTGTATGGGTTCCCCATCCACTTCTTCCTTAGTACGACCCCATAAAGGTCACAGTTGAAGTGCAGATCCCATATCCACTGCCCAACTTTCCACTATACCAGGCAATGCTTACATTCATTGTTCCAGAAGGGCCTGTGCTGCAGTGTGCAGTAACCAGCTCTGCAAACCTGAACTTTTAATTTAAAAGCAGCATAACACCCCAAATCATAAATGAAACAAATTGCAGCTTACCAATCATTAGGTGTGGTGGCTGCATCAGGTTTCTTTCCTTAGGCTTTTTTCCCCTCTGTTTGCACCTGGTGATCTGGCCAACAATACACCTGTATTAGAGTGCCCCCACTCTGGATGAAGGAGCATAAGGAGCACATTTGGACAAAAGAAATGGTAAGCTGCAATACAATTAATGTTGACTTGTGGTAGTAAACCGAAAAGCAAAGTTTTATAGATCAGGGCATCTCCCTGTGTAAGCTTTGTGTGGGAGCTTACCCAGGGTTAAAAGGATAAGTTCACCTTTCGTAACGTTACACCCATATTCAGGGTATAACATGTTACGATCAGACTGGCCCCTGCTCGTTCCTGCTTCCTGCTGTGATAGTTAGTGGGAAATCATCTCTCCCCTCGCTAGCTGTCAAATTAAAAAAAAAAAAAAAAAAAAAAAAAAAAGAAGAAGAAGAGAAGATGTGGCCGTGTCACTCATTTACAATATTCTGGGAATGGGAAAACTACAAGTCCCGGCAGCCTTTGCGGCTGTCGGCTTGTAGTTTTCAATGATCTACCACGGCACTCCACAGCGCCGTGACAGTTCATTGAGCCTTCCTGTCAATAGCATATGCTTGCTCGAATGGGATGTACGAGCAAGTAGATATACTGACAGGTCAGGGGGAGAACTGCATGGCACCAATGCTTTAAGGGCTCCACAAACAAAATAAACGCACATTTTGTTACCTGCAAAAAAACATGCATTTATTATTTTTTGTTAAAAAGTGACCTTATCCTTAAATGAATTTTTCCTAAAGTCCAGCATGGCAAGGCTGGCAACTGAGGTGTGGGCACTTCATTCTGGAAGGAAGGAGAGAAGGTTACATGCTAATGCATACAGTTCCAGAAAGTAGTGGGTAATTCTAAAGGCTCCAATAGACAGATTGCCAAGGGAGGGGGGAATACCCTAACAAAAGAAATCATCACTATACCATGAATGAGCAAAGGAATCCTCTTAAAACTGTTTTGAACATTTTGCATGCCAAAATTAATTTTCACACTTTTTTCAGGACATGTGAGGCTTTTACTGTTATGTACCATTATGAGCAGATAAAGTGGAAGCAAATGGGAACAACGGCAACACAGTCACAAAGTGGTAGGCCTCGTACAATGACAGAGCGGAGTCAGTGCATGCTGAAACACACAGTGCACAGAAGTCTCCAACTATCTGCAGAGTCAATAGCTAAAGACCTCCAAACTTCATGTGGCCTTCAGATTAGCATAATAACAGTGCGTAGAGAGCTTCATGGAATGGGTTTCTATAGCCGAGCAGCTGCATCCAAGCCTTACATCACCAAGTGCAATGCAAAGCAGCAGTGGTGTAAAGACCGCTGCCATGGACTCTAGAGCAGTGGAGACGTGTTCTCTGGAGTGACAAATCACACTTCTCTGTCTGGCAATCCGATGGATGTCTGGGTTTGGCAGTTGCCAGGAGAACGGTACTTGCCTGATTGCATTGTGCGAAGTGTAAAGTTTGGTGGAGGGGGGATTATGATGTGGGGTTATTTTTCAGGGGTTGGGCTTGGCCCCTTAGGTCCAGTGAAGGGAACTCTTAAGGCATCAGCATACCAAGACATTTTGCTCCCAACTTTGTGGGAACAGATTGGGGATGGCCCTTCCTGTTCCAACATGACTGAGCACCAGTGTACAAAGCAAGGTCCAAAACGACATGGATGAGCGAGTTTGGGGTGGAGAAACGTGACTGGCCTGTACAGAGTCCTGACCTCAACATGATAAAACACCTTTGGGATAAATTAGAGCGAAGACTGCGAGCCAGGCCTTCTCATCCGACATCTATGCCTGACCTCACAAATGCGCTTCTGGAAGAATGGTCAAACATTCTCAGACACACTCCTAAACCTTGTGGACAGCCTTCCCAGAAGAGCTAAAGCCGTTTTATTATAATACAAGATTTATATAGCGCTAACAGTTTACACAGCACTTTACGACATAAGGACAGACAGTACAATTACAATACAAATAAATACAGGGAGATTTACAGGGCCCTGCTCAGTATAGCTGCAAAGGGTGGGCCAACTCAATATTGAACCCTACGGACTAAGACTGGGATGCCAAAAAAGTTCATGTGCGTGTAAAGGTAGACGTCTCAATATTTTTGGCAATATAATGTGTGTGTGTATAAATATAAGGAAAAAACAGAGAGATGACATAAAAATAAAATATGTCAATTTAGACATAATTTACATACAGTACATACACAATCTACAACAGCCAAATAAGTCCTATATTACTACAAATATATCCTATGATATGGGAAAAACAGACAGACATATGTCTACAGTAGACTGACGTTTAGGCAATGCTAAAACACCCCGAATAATAAAAAAAAAAAGTAAATGCCTGTTTAGGGTTTTATTTTTTAATACATAATATGCACTTAAAGCACCCCGATAATCATAGAGCATTTGTTTTTATCAAGACACATG